CCCCATTCATCTGCCAGCTAGATTACGAAGCAGGTGAATGTAAACAGCGGGCAGTGGGCGGAAACAATATCCAGCCTGCTGTTGGCTATTTCCAATGGCAATAGCCAATAGGAAGCTGACTATTGCCGTCTTCCCAATGTGGCCACAGGTAGCTATAAAAAAAACTTACAAAGGCTCTTATCCAGTTCCATGCCCAAGGGTGTCCCTAGACTCTTTGAAGCCTGAGGCTGGGAGGGGGGTGACAATGGTGCACATTACGGGGGGTTGCTAGTGGTGCACTTTAAGAGGGATCGGGGGAAGGCGTCCGCTGTCCAGCTCAATGGCATTACTGGTTGCCACGACCTGGGCGGGACACCGGCCAGAGCATCCTATTCAGCTCCTGGCAACCAGTAACGTCACTGGTTGCCATGACCTGGATGAGACGCACGCCAGAGCATCCTTCTCAGCTCCTGGCAACCAGTAAAGTCACTGGTTGCCATGAGCTGGGCGGGACTCCAGCCAGAGCATCCCCAGTTGCTAAGAGCTCCTATGAATCTGGGATACCCCCCCCAATTTGACCTAATGGCTGTCTTGTTACAGCGTCTGGAATTTGTCTTTCATGGTGACTGACCCGGTCAAGTAATATAATACTTCAAAAGTAAAAGGTTGCTGTTAAAGGGAAGCTCCTTATGATGAATCAGACTGGTGGGTGCTACACCCCAGTAGGAGAGATAGTAGGGTGGTGATGATGGGGTGCAGACCGAAGGCCATTCAGGCTTATATTTTGGGGCGGCACAGCAAAGAGACAAATTCTGGAATCTGTTGGTTCAGATCCACAGCTGTTTGTATAAGGAATGTGTCACTGTAAGGTCTCATGTATGGCCGACATCACACAGGAAACAAAATCTTTCACCACCATCAGGAGAGAAGAGTCACTGCAGAGCCCAACTCCAGCCAAATAACATTTGTTTTCTGTTTTCGGTAGAACAGGAAAGAGTATCTATCACGTTTTTATTTCTATCTGTAGCACCAGGAAATTTTCCGAAGTAGCAAGAAGAGGTCCACAACGAGGACTTATGTAACAGGATGTTTAGTCCATATTACTCACTGCGAGACTAGCAGAGAGCAGCAAGTAAAAGAGCAGAATTCGCCATATTGTAACATTTAAGGCCCCTGATCAGGCTCTTTCTCATGCATGTGCTACTAGTTTGCCTTATTGAAGAGATCTCCCATTGGGAAATGCCCCCAGTAAGGACACAGATTGCTATTAAAACCTGACGGAGGCTCTTAACCTTCAACGCTCTATCAAAAAAATAAACTGTTTTAGCTGGAGTTGGGCTTTACTGACAGTCCTGTTATATTATGCAAATGATTACCAATGCAATCCTAGGAATTGAGGGGTTTAGGTGCCAGAACAGTAAGGACACCCATAAGACGACCACACATAAGATGGCCGTCCATAAGATGGCGGTCCATAAGATGGACACCCATTATATGAACATCCAGATGATAACCACACATAAGATGGACACCCATAAGATAACCAAACATAAGATGGACACCCATAAGATGGACAAACATAAGATGGACACCCATTAGATAGACACCAATAACTTGACCACACATAAGATGGACACCCATAAGATAACCAAACATAAGATGGACAAACATAAGATGGACACCCATTAGATGAACACCAAGAAGATAACCACACATAAGATGGACACCCATAAGATGACCAAACATAAGATGGACACCCATTAAATAGACACCAATAACTTGACCACGCATAAGATGGACACCCATTAGATGAACATCCAGAGGATAACCACACATAAGATGGACACCCATAAGATAACCAAACATAAGATGGACACCCATAAGATGACCAAACATAAGATGGACACCCATAAGATGGACAAAGATAAGATGGACACCCATAAGATGGACAAACATAAGATGGACACCCATAAGATGACCAAACATAAGATGGACACCCATAAGATGACCAAACATAAGATGGACACCCATAAGATGAACACACATAAGATGGCCACCCATAAGATCATTGTCACCTGTTCCAGCTGGAAATGTCCATATATCTATATACTCAACCAATGCAGACACCCCTAGGCTGACTAGTATTGCTTTCTTGTTGGGGGGAGTTCCCTCTACTTCCTCTTTCCATGATACAACAGGAAATAAGGAAATCTCAACTCGGGCATCTCTCCCAGAAGTGCTGGCCGAAAGTCAACTCTTTGCTAGAGTAGGGACCCAGTGTGCAAGGAGGCAAGCACCAAAAGGCTTGTAATGTGACCTGTGTCCCTTTTGGATAGATTCTGCTTACTTCCTGTCCCAATGACACAACAAGAAGCAAGGGGAAATCTCCCTAGTAAGAATACAGTCTGCAAAAAATCTTACAGAGGATCTAACCCTTCCTTACTCTGTCCAAAATTTATAAAATAAAGTTTTGGCTGGAGTTCCACTTAGAATAACCTATGTTACTGTACATAGAAGCTGATCAGGAGAATGAAAGAACAACAGGAGATAAATGATAAAATTAGAAACAAAATATACATGTGAATTATCTGGTCCAAATGATATTCTGTCACTTATTGTGTGCCCCTGAGCTGCTGGGAAGGGAGATGGAGCTACAGGGAGTGACCTGGGAGAGACGTGTTGGAGGACCGGTCACCAGTTCCTGTCTTTCCTCTCTCTCTCATTCCATCTCTCTTTTATCTTAGCTCCCTCTCTCTTCCCGGTAGCTTCTAATGCCGGCCAAACACAGTTAGAATTTTGTTCCAAAACGATCGTTTTCTAAACATTTGTCCAATTTTCCATTAGTTAATGGAAAATAATCGCCAATTTTTTGGGACTATAGTGATGAGAAATAACAGCCCAGGTTGGACATTTTTTTCTTGGTTCCTTAGTTCTGAATGAACACAATTCTAACATTTAATGTGGTCCTCAAATGGAAAAATCGCACTTAGGGTCTGGGGCGTCCCGAGGCCTGGTGTCACCCGGAGCAGAGACCGGGTGTCACCCTGCCGAGACGTCATCGCGCATGCGCATGACGTCACCACACACGTGCGCGATGACGTCATCGCACATGCGTGGCCATCTTAATGATGCCTGCCGGCGGCCATCTTGGTGGTGGACGCCGGCAGAGAGATGAGGGGACGTTAACCCGGCGGAATGAGGTATGCCGCCGGGTCCCCTCCTCTCTACTGACACTGCCAGGCTCTCGGTCCATGACCGAGTGCCCGACTTTTCAGAGGGGGTGACACCAAAAAGACTGTCAATCATTTTGGTGTCACCCCTCTAATAGTGCGGGCCGCATCCCCCTTGTGACGCCACTGCTTAGGGGCGTCCAATGAAACTGTATGTACAATAGTTCTGCTGTTGTGCGAATGGGGTAAAAACAAAAGTTCTTAGTGTAATTTCTCTTCTGGTCAAATGTTCTTCGGTAGGTATATTCATAAAGAGTGAATGGGAAAAATACCAGATTGTGGCTACTAAATGGAGCTGAGGATCACAGGACATGAATACAGTACGTGTTAGTAATGAAATACACTGTTACAGTTCTACAGACGGCTGGAGAGAATGTGCATATCAATGTAACCATTGATACTACTCGGATAGCAATGGTTACATTTCTTTGCTCATTTTCTCCAGTGTTCTCCTGAATTGTTACACGGTATCTCCTTACCAACATGTATTTATTTCCTTTGCTCCTCAGCTCCATCTAGTGGCCATATTGCAGCATTTTCTTATTTACCCTGTTCCTAATGAATGATCCAACGGAAGAACATTTGACCAGATGATAAATCATACCAAGAACATTCGTTTTTGTCCCATTCTCATAACGGCTGGGTAACTCACACAGAGCTAATGCACATACAGTTTTGCTGCATGAAAAAGTTATGCAATTTTTTTTATAAACAGACCCCAGAAACTGAAACTTGGATGAGATTCATCCAGAATTAGAACTTTTGATGTCATGAATATTTGTTTGTTTAAATAATGCTGTGTGGTATAGGAATGTATGAAAGAACGATTTAAAGGTTTCTTTGTATGCAAAACTGGGTTTTTAAGTATATTCTAGACATGTAAATTTCATTTAATTCCAAATAGATATATTGATACGAATTTCATTAAATTCAGACATTGGGACATCCGGAGGGGAACGAATCTGAATGTTTATTTAACGAAAATTCAGATTTGTTCAGAGTTTCATTCAAATCAAAACTAAATCGGACATGTGACTGTTCTCTGGCCAATCAGATTTTTTTTGGCTGTTGGAGGTTGCATTACAGGCATGGTCATGTGACTTCTTGTGAAACAAAAATTCGTAAGGATATGAAATCCAAATAATGAACAGAATCGAATTTCGGATCTGGAATCCGAAAAAAGAAAGAGATAAAAATCCGAATCCATCCAAAACGTAACAAAACAAATATTCTACTATA